GTCCAACTTCCTTCCCTGGCCTTCACCTTTCTTTGGTCTCTTCACTTCCTTCCTCGGAGAAACATACACTAGGGGCATCGGAGGCACCCCCGACGGCTTCTCCCTCACCACCATCGCTGTGGACACACTTTCTGCTACTACAGCCCCTCCTTTTTCCACCATTGACTCGGGCAACATAGGTGTCGTGTTGTCCGTCGAGAGACGCTTGAGCGAGACTCCAGCTGGTCCATTAACCCCCTCCATAGATGTGTTCGTTCTCCTCCCCTCCAGCACCTCTGATCCTCCATTGTTACCGCTCATGGGGGCTTTATTTTTTCCTCCATCTTGATCCAGAGGCTGCGACTGCCGCTGCAAATCATACTGGTTTGTCTGCATGGTCTCCCGTCCTCCTTGTGGTCCATTCGACCCTGATGCTTCTCCATGGGGCTGCGGTGGCCAGGCGTTGAAGCGCCAGCTCTGGTTTGGGTTGTATTCCCCGCCCCTACCGCGCCCCCCTCGCAAAGCTTCCTATCCTTCTCTGTGATTGAGCAAAACCGCGCCCCGGAGCTCAAACTCTAACATTATCTGCAAATAAGAAGTCTCCCCACTCAAAAGCAGCTCCGTCATGCACCCCGTCGCCGCACTCTTCATGCCAATGGCCGAACTCTCCACAATTGTAACAGAAAATCGACAATTTCTCATACTTGACTGGATACCTGACCCTCTCCTCGCCCTTTTTTCCTGTGACAAACCTTTTGATCTTTGCATTAACATCAATCTTGATCCTCACTCTCACGAATTCACCAAAAGATCCGTCCGTCAGCTTTAGCTGTATCTCTACCACCTCGTCGATCCTCGACGCTAGCCCCTTAACCGCCGGCTTGATCAAGAAATTGTCCGGAAGGCGATGGATCTGAGCCCATACCTCAATTCTATCCAGCTTGAATGAATCAGGGTTTTTGAATCCATCATACTCCTCTAAGATCACGGCCTGGTCCCTGAACAATCACGGTCCTTCGTACATAGCTTTCTTCCAATCTGCGAGGCATCCAAACTGCGCCGAAAATAGGTTATCCCTAATCTTCCTCCATGCTACCGGCTTAGCCGGGTTCCAGGCCGCCCTCATGTCGCCATACAATGCGTTAGGGCTAAAAGTTTTTTGGGTATGCACCCTCGCAATCGCCAGCCACTTCGCCGGCTCCAGTAGATCTGGTAGCTCTTCCTCCGACACAAAGTCATCTTCTTCCTCCTCCTAAAGGGTAAGGCGGGCTAGTAGATCCTCAGCCGACTCCTTCCCCTTCTCCCTCTGCGTGCCCCTGTCCTCTGACATCGTCTCGATCCGATCTGCCCACACAAACCAGCGCTTCCCCAAACGCGATCTGCACCCCGTCCAATGCCGGGAAGGATCGCTCGGATCCCCCTTTGTCAGCCCGAGTCAGGAGGATCAGCCACGCTCGAGGACGGCGCTGCAGAGCAAGATTCCAGCGAGGATCGCCGGAAGACGTCTAAACCCTAGCGTATCGCCTAGGGGATTCCGATCTGGTGTGTGACTGCCTTTAGGATTTATTAGAAATTCTGAAAATGTTGTTGGGCTCGCCCAAAAATGGACTAAATTCCAGCATACAACGATGGACCATGGCAAACTCTTTCCTTCAAGTTTCGCTAGCGAACCCATGGATTCACATCTCCTCTGCTCGCCGCTCTGGTGCCGGTGGCGGGAAGGGGAATCTCGATGCCTTTGCTTCAGCTAATAGTTTAGGTTAGGTTTTTTAGTCATTGCAAGTGAGGCGCTTTGGCGCATAGCGGCGCTTCTTCGAATTTGTCTTTCGGGCTCTGATCCTCTTTGATTTTGTTCATCTTGACATAGTTGACAGAGCTACGACATAGAATCTTCTCGTCTCTTTGGGACGATGAGGTTAGGGTTTCTTACCATGTGACGAGATTTGTTGTCAGGTACTTCAGATCTTTTCAAGGATTAAACGGTGACGACTACGGCTTCAGTGTGCTGGTCCTTAGGCCTTGTACAACGCTGGTGCTTGTGCACCGGTGCTAGCCGCATGGCGCCTTGAAAATTTCTTTAATCCTCAACACGTAGTGCTTGGTATGGGGTGCTAGCTGGGCCTTTTTCTTTTTTCTTTTTGCCTGCCATGGAGGCACTGAGTCGAGGCACCGTGACTTGAAGGAGCGGTTATTTGTTGTAAGCACCGGCTGGCACCGGAAGCAAAACTTTGATTCTGACACCCGTCCTAAGCCCCTGTGTAATCCATTCTTAGGAAAACAATTGGATTTTTTTTTCTGAGGCACGAATGTGAGCACCCGCCGTTGTACATGGCCTTAGGGGCATATGCATGAAGACTTTCTGAGTATCATCGATAAAGTCAAGCCAACTTCGGTGTGGGAATAACGATAATGGCGCGTCGGCGACTCGTTTTGACGGCGGTAGTGGTCGTTCGATGGTCTCAAAATCTGATGTATTTCTTATTATATTTGATATACTTTATACTTCCAGCCGATTTTTATAATAGATCTGATCATTTTCGCACTTCTTAATTGCGACTAACTAGCAAGAGACCATCAATAATCTCACCTACGAGGGCGAAGAACGAGCAGGGCATCTCAAGAAAAAAAAAAAGAACCAGCGGGGGAGAGGACGGCTGTGCCGCACCGACGAGGGAGTAGAAATGCGCCTCACGGTCACGGACGGACCCAAACGCCGCCACTCTGCTCAGCTCCAGCTCCCCAACCCCAATCAAGCGAGCCAAAAGCCCTAGCTCGCGAGCTCCGGCGGCCGCCGCTCCCCCCCTCCCTCCCCCCGCACGAGCGGCGCGGCCTCCGCC